TGCTACTGTCTGCCTGTACCATGATGCAAGAACAACCATAAGCTTTCATCAGACTTATTATATTTTTCATTATTCCCCATGGAATAAACAACGAAGCTGTAGGAGCTAAACCTATCGTCTTTCCTCTTGCCAGTTTACGAAGAAATATCTTACCAATTTCTTTAAGGTAGCCATCTACCAGTGGACCAGCCAATAACATGTGGTAACCTATATGTCTCTCGACATTAGCATTCATTTCGTCTCCACCAAAAGATTTTTCAGTATTAACCCCATCAATTATTTCTTTAGCCCACCTGGGTTCGCATGTTCCTACCCGTAGTTCTTCTTCAACCCAAAAGTTATTTCCTCTCTCTATAGACATTTGTTTATTCGTATGTTTAATTTAAATAAGAATGCCAAACTTGTTTGTTAAACTGTTTTCGTTACATCCGCATCCGTAAATCTCGTTAACCAAAGCAAGTGGGAGAAAATCAATCAAAAAATATCGCCGTGGTTATCTCTATGTTTTTTTTTGTGTTTATTTTTGTTAGTTTTTTTTTTGTGTTTTTTTTTATTTATTTACTTTTTTAATTTCTTTTTTTTAATCATTCTAACATAAGAAATTAAAAAAAAAAGAAATAACAGCATAAAATACAAAAACAAATTATTTTCTATTTTAAGTTTTTTTTATTTATTTATTAATTTTATTTTCTTTATTTGAAATATAATTTTTAGGAAAATTTAATTATTATTTAAAAGGTTTTGTATAATCTTTACTTTTAAAAGCTATTCTATGTATGGTATATATTATGGGGCTTAGTGAAAGACAAACTATAGTTATCGTTTTGCTTCTGTCATATAAATTTTTATTTATTTTATTTAGTTATAGTAATTTTTGTCAAACGGCGACATATATATATATAAAACGCCGATGAAAGAAATTGATCTAAAGGCAAGTTTTCCCAAAAATTTCCAACAACCAATCATCACATCTACTAGAAGCTAATAAGTTTTTTAATTTTTATAGTAGAAAAGTACCATTTAATCTTAATAAAGTTTTATCATTAAGCTTAAAGTAGAGAGGCTAGTTGTCTATATTGTTGTAAATCTTATTTAAATCCGAAGCACCGTTCATAACCTTTCTTAGATTTAGTAAAGATTTCTAAACAAGATCTACAATTATACATGCCACAAATATTGTTTAAACTGTTGAACAACCAAGTGACAAAGAAAAAGGTCAGGCTTAAAGTTAAAGTTCGTGTTATTGGTTTTTTTATGAAAAACCGGATTCATTAAAAATTTAAAAACACTTCGAGTTACTTGGAGCCCGAGGGTTCCAGTTATTGAGATTTAACAGTAATACTATATTAAAAAGATTACACAATTTTTTTAAAATAAAATATTAAGGACTTGTTAAAGAGTAAAGACTTGTTAAAGAGTAGACTTGACAATCTATCACAGACACGGCTGTTTCAATCACGAATATGTTTTCAAACTTGGCAAGTTGAGCAACTTTTTTTAGCTTTTCGCGTAAATTTTTGTTTATCTTATTAAAGCAACGACGTAGCAAATTAAACTTTAAAACAATTTTTCTAATATTTTTTTGCGATTTTGTTTTATGACCTAATTATCTCTGTTTCAATTAACATAAAGTTTGAGTAATTTTTTTTTTTTTTTTATTATAGTCTAATAAAGATTATAACTTGTTAATAAATATTAGAAATATATATTTTCAATTTTTTTGTTGATAAAAAGTAACAATAAATTACTAAAGTTCAGCCAACTTCATCATTTCTCGCGTTTTTTCTAAACTAAAAGAAGTTTTTTTACTATTATATTAAATGTCATATGATAAAACATTTTATTGTTATTTTTATTCCTTTTACAAAACAAAATTATTTTTAATTTTTCAAAAGTTATAAATATTTTAGTAACACCCCTTACGTTAAGGTTCTGACGACAAGATCCTTTGATCTTCTTTCAGATACCTTATTTTATATTTGTGAAAAAAAAAAAAAAAAAATTTCAAAAAAAAATTTCAAAAAAAAAAACAAGAAGCCGTAAAGCTCACTCTAAAACAGCTGTGCAGAGCCGTGGAAAAGCATGTAACCAGGAAATACACGCCTCCTTTTATATCGATGTCGCAAGATTGTTTAGTCAGAGCTAACATGGAACCTTTTGATTGTAAGCCAGAACTCTAATCATTGTGCCACGGCTGCTGTTTTATGAGTTTTATCTCTCCAATCTAAAATTCTTAAGTTGATTAGATATAGAGAAAAATGTGCAATTTTCAAAGCTATTTTACTGTAAGTCAACTAATATTATTGGAAATCTATCATTCATTCGATTTTGCACAATAGTTTATTCAATGAAAAAAAATTTTGTTGTTGTTGTTGTACCACGTAATCTTCAACGACGGTAGTAGTGTAGCAATAGAGCGCTTGCGTCATTAACTTGAAATTACAAGTTCGATCCATACCACGTCTTTGGAAACACCACGCTTAACTTGTTTTTCCGCGCAGCGGTTTTGTCCGTCAATGTTTGTGTTAATTCGCAGTTAAAAGAAATGAAAAAGATTTGCTACCAAATTTAAAAAATTTAAAAATTAGCCTCCTTGACTGTAGTGGCTGTCTCGACATTAGGGAGATGAACAACATCACACAAAAAATACTTTTCTTTTGAAAAAGTATAATTTTTTAAGCAATGTGATAAATTCATACTCATTTTTTAGTATAAATTATATTCTTAACTTTAACAGGAACGTAGAAACAAAAATTATATTGGGGGGGGAGGGGGGAAGGGTGTGTTGTTTTCTTTTAACTAGTCTTTTTTTTTTCAAAAAAAAAAAAAAAAAAAACACTGAGCCCCGATCCGCCACTGTGGAGGGGCAATACAACTGGGTAGGTCAATTAGTAGTAGGTCACCAATTTTTGTCAATGGGACTTACGCCGAAAATACGGAAGACAAATTAGGTCTATTCTATCCTTTTTTTTTCTTTTTCTTTTATATCTTCTAAAAACTAACTTCAAAAGTGGGGGGGGGGCGGGGAGAGAATGCCCCTAAAGACCCCCGGTTGCTACGGGCCTGGTTCAATACATCACGACGTTAGAATTATTTTGTTTTATCTCCAAATTAATAATTTTAAAAATAAAGACTTTAGGAGACGGCATATAATTTTTTTTTTTTTTTTTTTTAATTTCCCCACAACTTATTACTTATTACTTATAACTTGTGTACTGAGGTACACAACACTATCAATAACTCAAATTTTTTAAAAAGTGGAGATAGAACAAGATAATTCTAACGTAGCGACATGTCGATATTATTGTTGACATGATTGTTAATAAATATGAGTCTGGACGTCCACTCGATGTTTGTCGGATGTCTTGAGATGTCCAATGCCCATTGTTCTAGAGCAAAATTAAAATGTTTGAAAAATGACATTTTCAAAATTTCTATACTATATAATTTAGTGTTTAATGTTTACAGCCATTCCCATAAAAAATGCTTTGGAGGTATGAACACATACATATGCTTATATTCAAACCTCCAAAGTTTATAAGGTCCCAAGTTTACAAAAATTGTCGAAATGCTTTTTATAAAACTGTTTTTAAATTTGGATCAATTTAAAGACATTTTCAACAATTAGGAATAAATTTAAACTACAAAGTTTTAGCAAAGGAGGTTATTTAGGTAAAAATGCATTAAATTTTATCAAGAATATTTTAACGTGTAAAATAAGTTTAAGATGATAAAGGCGGTTTATCTGAAACATCTAATAATAAAAACTGTACCAAGGAGCATAATTACATCATAATTATTATATGTCTTTTAAAAAATTTGAAAAGCTAGTGGTCTTAGAAATTCAATCCCGTAAAACAGGGCATTGTATAACTATATAATTTGTACCAATATACTAAGGACATTTGAAAATGTTTTTAAAAACTTAAAAAATTTAAGAAACCATTGTTGCGTTTTTTAGCAATTCTAATAACAAAGCTAATGCAGTGTTTTTTCTATGTAATGCTTTTTGTAAAAATGCTTTGACGTTGTCGTCTAAATTGATTTTTAAATTGATTTCTAATGATGGGGCTGTCCAATAGTGTTAAAATATAAAAAATATAAATAAAAATAAGAACTGAATGTTCTTTGTAAAATAAAGAAAAATTAGTATATTTAAACTCGATTATACAAAACATTAAAAAGTATTTTGAGTTTCCAATAAAACCTTATAATTTTTTATTGAATTAAAAAATAATATAAATAACAATAATAATTATTACTATTATAATAATAAGAATAATAGTAATAATAACAATAACAATAAACACTGTAGAACACATTTTTTTTATAAAGATGTTGTTAATTAATTTATAGATGCTAAATTAAAAATGATCTCATTTTTTCTCTATTAAGTCAAGTTTTTAATTTATAGGATTTTCATTTTTTTAAAAAATGTGAAAACATGTAAATTTGAAAATGCTCAACAGATATAAGCTTATTTTACCCAAATGTTACCATACATAAAAAGAGTTAAAAAACCGGGCTAGACTGCAATATTTAACACAAATAATGTTTTTGCAAATAATATGGCTAAAAATGTAAAATGAATCAAGGTTATTTAGCCGTTTGCGACAAAAATTATCAGGAGCAGACATGATCTAAAATAAAGGAAATATATACCTATAATAAACATTTAGATATAAAACTTGCATGTTTTGAAAACGACGAAAAACGCTTTAACAAAAATAAAAATTCACATAAAAAAATAGCTTGTAGCCCAGACAAACTATTTTTGTAGATTGTAAGGTAGACGAATCCAATCGTAAATTGCAGGTAACTCTTTTAAGGTGAAATTTGTTTAACTAAAGCGCAAAGAGTGGAGAAAAAAGTTGACTTCTTAGAAAATAAACGATTTCAGTTTTTGAATCAGCATGTCAATTTTAGTCAAAATAGCTACTGAATTAAATTCAAAATCTTTTTTTAAATTGTTTCTCAAAGTAATCTATTGAAATATTTATAACTCAAAATATTGCACATCTGCATATAGTTTTACATAGAGTTTTACCTGTATTTGGCTTTACCATCTAAAAAACAACTGTGTTTTATCAAAAAAAAATTCGATAGGAGCGTCGGACATTATTATTTTTCTTTTTTTAAATATATTTCGCTGTTTATATAAAAATAAAATAATAAAATTACAATGAAACTTTTACATTACACAAGAATATATATAAAACAGACAGGAGCTCAAAGAAGATAAGGATGACTAGTGTCACCACAATCTTTTCATAGAGCCCCTTTACAATATCATTTAAAGCCCACATGGCTTTAAAAACTTTACAACATATATTTTATCTGTTAAATACTACGTAAAGAATAAAGAAAAACTCATATATACATATATACTTATATATACATATACCCATAAAAACACACACATATACAAACATACTTACATATATGTCCGAAATTAAGGAGATGTATTTTCATTTGTCGTTTATAAGATAAAGTGATTTTCAAATTTTTTATATTGTTTTTTTTCAATTGATTCCATAATGACGGGCCATAATGACGGGACATATTTCGCGTCATGGTAACGAAGGAGGCGTGAACTTTCTGGTTAAATGCACTTCCGCGGTGCTCTGTGACAAGACCGTTAGGTCTTTTTGGGACACCTAAATAACAAAATATATATATATATATATATATATATATATATATATATATATATATATATATATATATATATATATATATCATATAAAATATCAAAGTTCATATTTTATTTAACTGAATAGAAAATATTAAAACTAAAAAATGAATATTAGATAAATTTTGTTTAAAAAAAGATTAACCAAAAATTACTTATCTGAAAATAGCAATACAACTAATATTTTAGATCTGTCAGAAACACTCATTTTATTCTTTATATGCAATGTTTTCCTTTACGTAAATCAAAGATTTTAAAGGTTTTGACGGTTTTTGAAGTAGAAGGACATAATTGTCCGACTCTGAAGAGTTTTCCTCTATATCTAGAAACTGTAAAAAAGAAAATAACAAAAGAGGTTGTCTAGTAAAAAAGTTGAGGGCATGCAACCCCGTCGTTGTTGGCCTGAAATCAGAATTAAAGTTATTTTATATATAAAACTTGGTTAAGCAAATTTTATTGAAACTAATTCCAGTTTCTTATACAAATTAACGAAATTTTTCAAAACTCTTATTTAGACTTTAAATATTCAGTGACGGACTCACTAAATTTTTAGTGGGATGGAGAGAGAAAATGTTGGTACAAAAAATAATATGCTCTGGTTTATTTCTGGTTTATTTATGTAGAAAGCCAACATATTTATTTTATTTGCAACTAAAAATTAATCTCAGTATTATAAGAAAAACTAAAAAAACATAAAAAAACAAAAATATTGTTTAAAGTTAATTACATTTTATATAACAATTTAATATATATTTGATATGTACTTCATATAATTTTCATAATATATTATTATTTATTATATTATTTTCATAAAATATAATAAAAAATACCTCACCTTTTTCTAAAAAAAAGCATAAAAAGAAGTTTACTAAAATATAATAATAAAAAATCTAAAAGTAATGAACTATATTTAACATAACAAAAATGCTTAAATTATTTAGATTAAATTAAATTAGATTAGATTAAAATTTATTAGAACAGTGATACATGTACTAAAGGACACGCAGTTCCATAAAATATGAAGGACTCTCAAAACGTGCCCTACATAATACATATGCTAGATAATTTGAAATATATATTACAATTATATATAAGACCATAGTTATAAAGCAAAAACCAGTTAGCCGGAACAGTATTTTTCAAAGTCGATAGAGTTAATTTTAATTTTGAAACTTTATACTTTTAGCGTTCACGACGTCAGACGGCAAGTTATTTCAAACATTAACGACCCTGAGTGAGAAAAAGTATTTACGGACATCGAGTTTACATTTTAGTTTGCGTAATTTGAAATTATGTCCTCGAGTGTAAATATAGTTGTTAAATAAAAAGAAACTTGATTTATTTAGGCAAACTAAATTGTTCAGAATTTTGTAACATGTAATCATGTCTTGCTTAAGGCAACGAACTTCTAGTAGTTCCAAACCAAGAATTCTAAGTCTATTTGAGTATGAAACGTTATTTAGGTTAGAAATTCTCATTTCGTACTCTTTTCACTGTATTGTTCATTTCAGTGCGATTTGGCGACCAAACCGGAGAGCAATATTCTAAGATCGGTCTTTTATAAGTAGTGTAGCCTTTAACGATAACACGACTTTTAAAACACTTAAGGATTAGATATCCTCGACTTTTTGATGCGCGGACGATATTTGAAATATGATTATTGTAATTTAAGTAAGAATCCATGGTCACACCAAAATTGGTTTGGGTTTGTAGACCAAGTTAAATTATGATCGCCTAGTTGATAGTTATAATTTATTTTTTTACAAAATGAAGTAGGTGCTATTCTATGAGTAAAGCACTTATTAATGGCTACTTTTAACTGACATTTTTTTGACCAGAGATAGATGGATGCAATGCAATGAAATCTGAATAAACGGCAGAATTGCAAGTTGAAACGGTAGAATTGCAAGTCATATACATTCATTCATACTTACATTGTATTTACTTTCTAAAATCTGTTTATAAAATTATCTCCCCCATTTCTATTTGATGCAAAAGCTAAATATGTTTATCTAACTTTTTTAACATTTTTATTCTGATTCCGATACTTATTTTTTTTTTTAACTTTTGTTGTTGTAGTTTACTCAAGTATTTCCTTGTCTTAATATTTTCTTATTTTATTTGTTTATTAAGAAGTCTACAAGTTTTTAATTATATGAGTAATATCGAACCTAATTTTATAAATTATAATTTTGTAATTTTTATTTTTTATGTTTAAATAAATAGAAATGGATAATACTTTACTAAAAGACTTTTTAGACGCAGAAGCGCAAACTTTCAAATAAACTGTTTTGACTCCAATAGGAGTAAAAGGAGTCCTTTTTTAAAACAGATTCATTCAAAAACAGGGCCATCCCGTGGAGGAAGGGAGGGGGGCGAATTTTATTAGTCGGCAAATGTCGGAAAACGAGGACCTTTTTTTTTTTTAGGTAAGTTTGTGAGCAAAAAAATTGTTTCTGGCTTTTGTCTACAAAAAATAAACACGGCACCCGCCCCCCTTTAAAATCTTTTCGGGACGACCCTGGTTAAAACTGAGCTTGAAACTTTAAAAAAGAGTTTCTCTGCAATTCACACAAATATTAGAAGTATAAATAAATTGCTTTACAAACTAAAGATAAACATGGTGCTCCGATGAATCGCCTCAAGCAAGGTTCAAACTGCAAGTTATACACTTATAACTTCTGAAAGAGAAAAATAACAAAAAGGGAGAAAGGATTGCACGAGGAATATTTAAAATGATCTAGCGAATAAAGTAAAAAAATTCTTGTCGACGATTAATTCTTTACAATTGCGATAATCAAAAAATTTTTTAGTCTACATTTTAGCCAATAAAAATTTAAATAATACTTTAGTTTTCACCTGTTATGTTGTAGACAAAATAAGCAAAATTTCAAATTTCTAGGTTTTTCTCAAAATCTTCTTTGGAATAAATAATGATGGGAAAAAAAATGTTCTGTATAGTTTATTTAAACATTAACTGTTAAAATTACAAGGAAAATGCAAAACTATTTTTCAATAAAATGCTTCAGATATGCATCTTGCAAATAAGAAGCCTCCTTAAAAGCAGGAATCATTAAAACAGATATATCATATCATTTTTTTAGAGTTATTTATTTTTTATTATCTAAATTTATAAGAGCAGTTAAGACTTCTATAACTTAAATCTATGAGATTTAGGTTATAAAATTTCTCTGGAGCAAAAATACATAAAAAGTGTGCTCCCCAAGCCCGAGTGTGACAGCAACGAATTAATAAAATAAACTTTTATAGAATATTATATTAAGTTTAAGTTCATCAAAAGGTTTTCAATTTTATTTAATTCTCCCACCCTCATGGGAGTAAAAATTCTACATGAGGATAGAATTTTTACTCCCATGTAAAAATTCTACCCTCATTCTATTGGGGGTAGTAAATTTGACACAGTCATAACTAAAAGATCATTAAATGAAATTAAAACTTGTTGATGAACTTATAGGATATGAATTTATTGTAAAATGGTTTAAATACTATTTGATGAACAGGCAACAACGCTTAATTGTAAATCGACATATTTTCCCTTTCATATTAACTAGCTGTCATGACCCGTACGATACAGGTTGTGGTAAGTCTAATCCACACCCAACCATTTCTAAACTTGTTCCTAATTTAGTCTTTATACTTTAACTTATTTTGTAAACGACAAAAAATAAATTAATTTGAAGTTCTGTTAGTTGGTAAAATGCAAACTTTATTGTAAACCATAATTCTATTGCTTGTTAAATTATAATTAAAAAAAAAGTTTAATTTAAATAAAGTTTAAAAAATTTAAATGTAATTTAAAAAATTGATGAGCAAATGTTTTAAATATTATGACTGTTGTGCTCATTAAAATGTCTCGACTCGCTAAAAAGTACGCAGTTTGCATTTTAGTGTCATGAAGTTTTTGGCTTTTTTGTTAATTTTTAATTTACTATACTTAAAAATTAATTAGTATTTTTAATTATTACATTAATATTTTCTACATAATAAAAGAATAAAAGTATCTTTAGCATATAAGACAGTTGCCTATTAATTCTTCAGGTGTTTTTGGAAATTTATGCTATGATACTATTTTAACTCTCTCATAAGGATTTGTTTAAAAAGCAAATTTAAACGTAGAAAAATTGACAAGCCAAAGAGGCCTAGTTATTTCAATTAAGCTAGCTTTATCTGCTTGATATTTTTTATAAAAGCCTTTCTGTAAAAAAACACTTAACAAATTTATACAATTAAGCTGTTTTTACTGCGGAATCAGGCAAATAAATTTTTAAACCTATTGTTTGTGCAATCGAGACTTAATCCAAATGAAAACCGTCCTGATCGTACACAGGGTGATAAAAGTATAAATGGTTTCCATTTACATATAAAAAGTTAATGGAAATATAAAAAAACAAAGCAAAAATAGCGAATATATCTATTCAAAACTCCAAAATTCTAAAGATAAAAAAATATAGAAACTTGTTTGAGAAACAAACTAAAAAGTTTTCTTGAGAAAAACAGATTGAAAATTACAAAATACAATTATAAATAAAATTCATAAATAAAAGTATATTCAATAAATATAGTTTTACGAAAATGATTAAAAAGATATTCAAAGATATTAAGAGATTCATGAAAGTTAAAAAAGCAATTTAAATACTTATCCGTGCACATCTACAGTGCCTCGTGCATCTCATGTTATTTAAGTCATCAAAGTAATTGATGCGCTCTCGGTTAAGAATGTTTAACAGGGGCGTTGATAAATAACTGTAAATCTCTAAATTTCCTTATTATGTTAATATTAAATAGTTTTAATTTTTGACTATTTTTAGAAACAGTAAATTTTATAAAATAATTTAGTTTAAATATAAAATTAATTTTTTTAATTATGTTCTTAATAAAAATATACTTTTTAAACACCCTTACCGTTTTTTATAAAAGTTAAGGTCGCCGCCTGT